TATAAACTGATGAACTTAAACGAATTACAAAAAGAACTGAAAAAACTGGTGGAAGTACTGAAAGAGAACAATAGGGTTCTAGAAAAAGGATAAAAGAAATATAAGAGTTTTGCAGCTTATGATCTGTGCGTGTTGCTGATGAGTTGTTTCTTGTGTTGCCCTATCTCTCTCTTTATATAGGGTTTGGCAATTGCTTATGTCTGTGCAATCTCTGATTCCTAATTGAATTTGTTGTTGTCGATTCAAATTGCAATTGACTTTTATTTCCGATTACCTTCTTCTATCACAATTGGAATTTTTGTCCGATTTGGATTCAGCCTTCTCCTCGCCGGGTTCGATTTTCGACGCGTCTTCCTTTTCCGATTCGGCTATGGACTTCTTGCGACAAGAAAATTGGACCGATTCATCACTTTTGTTGGGCACCCGTGATTTTGATTTAAAATCGGTGTTAACATAAAGTCCCCAAGGCACAACTCATTTTAGCAATGTGGTGTGTCTTTGAATATCTATCGGGCCAACAATGAATTGGCCTAATAGGAAGCGGCCCACAGGTTGAAATGAAAATAGGTGTGTGGTGGCCCCTCCATAGTCAAAGCGTGATGGAAGTAACGTTGTTGACTGGAAGAATCTGGAAAAAATCTTGGGCCAAAAGAAGCCGTTAGGGAAGACTCATAGGGAATCAAAACTCAATCCCGTGAATCGAGGAGTATCAACCTCTTAATGACGCTGGTTATCTCAACAATCAATTCATATATTTTCTTCCAAATTTTGAAATTCAAAAGCATCGCTTCATTCCCCTGGGTTTCGATTTTACCAAAGCAAAGCACAAACCTGCAAAAACACAAACCTTCTGAATCGCAATGGCGGGGGTTTATGCAGTGAAGTTTGATGCAAAATTGGCCAAGACGCGGAATGTGAAGCGGAGAAATGTTTGGCGTTATCGCCGGATTTTGATGAACTGTTGAATCCACATGGACCGCCAGGTCACTACTCGCTGAGGCCTAGTTTCATGGCGGATAACGCCACGCTCCGTCAATATATGTTGGTGTTGCAGCCAGAAAATCCGTCGCTTAGGTTTCTGTGTATCGGGTTTGGGCGTATCCGGGGACAGCCATGGACGTCAGAAAAGGGTAATGTTCATCAAGAATTCTGTAAGTGGGCCAAGTCAATGGAAAAGTATCATGTGGCAACTTGGAAGAAGGCCGGAATTTATGATTTGATTCAATTCTACGAAATGGGGGTTTTTGACAACAAGGACCTGCTTAGGGTTGCATCGAGATTCTGGAGCAGTTCTAGCAATGTCTTCTGTTTCCCTTGGGGTTGTATGACTCCAACCCTACTAGATGTGGCGGTGATAACAGGCGTTTCAGTCATTGCCGATGTCACTATAGATGGAGACAGTGAAGGTGCCGATGCTACCAAAGCCGGGACACTGCAATAGAGACCTCATGGAGGCTATATTAAGGAGAATCTGCTAAAGGCGTGTAATGATCATGTGCAACATATTCTGTTCCTTGCATTGCGGCTGAATTGGTACATAATGTGTGGTAAGTCTTTCCCAATGACTCAAGATATGTATCATATGGCTGCTATTCTCGCGTCTGGAAAATGAATTAATTGATGTGAAATCATGCTAGCACTGTTGTATCACAGTATGCATGAAATTAGGAAAGCCCCCAATGAAACTGTTTTTGGACCAGTTTGGCTATTGTTTTTGTGGTTTTATATGTACTTCCCTCAGTTAAGGTTAGCAGCGATTAACCCCGTAGGAAATCAGTCTTTGTGCCTTGGTGTAACCCATACTGGTGTTGCTAGATATAACAACGAATTTGTAGCCAGAATTTTGTGGGATTTAATACCAGATTTGTCTATGATATTGAAAGAACTGTCATATAAGCATTGGCATCCCACTTTTGGTTCACCAACACAAGTTGAAGCTGAGTTCGAGAACTGGAATGATGATAGTGCATCTGGGTTGTCGAATGTCTGGAGGAAATTATTGGTGCCCAGAGATCTGTATTATGGGTTTAAGAGTCTCACTCCATAAACTGGTGAATGTATCATATACATGCTGAGTATTATCCAACTGTAATGGTGGCTAGGCAGCTAGGTATAGTGCAAGGTATTCCCTTTTTTGATGTAGCTTGCAGGCACACTTGGGAATTTGGTCGGGGGAAGATGTCTATGCTGGATTATTATGAGCAAAGAGAAATCATGGCCAACAGGTGTCTCTCTGGGAAAGTGATGCCTTTTGAGATAATTCCGGAAGCATATGCTGCCTTTTATATCTTTTTGGAAGAAGTACTACGCACACTGTATCCCCAGGCTTTGGATGGCGTTCTACAAAAAGTGCTGCTGATTGACTCAGCCATCCCAAAGCCGCATGTAGTTGATGAACAAGCTCCACCAGGTAAACACATGTTTTTTTTTTGTTTTTGTTTTATAATGTATTGCGGTAGGCATCGGGTAACATGTGAATATTGGTCATGTAGCATCAATAGGCCAGACTCCTACGGCAGCTGGAAGCAAGAAAAATCCAAAAAGGAAGAAGACAGCAGGACCAATGCAATTAGTGAAGCGTCGGATGTCTGCCCGGTTGACTGGTAAAAAGAAAACAACTAGCGGCAGTTCAAAGGTAATCGGACTGGTTTGGTACTGTATAGGATGAACAACGCTGTGTTTCCGGTCTGATTGCAATGTTTTGTAACCATCTTTTGCTAGTTGCAGAAACGCATTTAAACGGTGGACTTGTCTGCTGAGGAATCAGATGACTGTGACAATAAACATGCATCAGACGCTCTAGAAAAAGTTGTTGGTAACAGCCCGAAACAACATGTCTCTCCACCGGCGAAACGTTAGGCGGGCTCCAGGAGCTTGAAAAGAAGTGCCAAGAAAACCAGTGTAACAGCTGCAATTCTGTCAATTGAAGAGTTGCAACAACACCGGTGGCGAAAACGAGTAGCAAAACGGCACAATCTGTGGGAGCTACCTTGCGAGTAATGCAAGGCCCATCCAAAGTCAGCGCAGAACAAGTCCATGCTCGTTATCATCAGTCGCTGGAACAAGCACTAGAGATAATCCTGGGGAGCGATTTGCCCGGAGCGGTAAAGGCTACATTTCGCTTGTTCCTAGCCAATTTTGAGCAAATAAAGATCAGCCGCTAAATATGTGTAAAGCATGTGGAAGATTACAATCACTCAGCTATGGTGTATTTACAAGCTGAAGAGACGGCTAAAACCCTAGTGGAATAGGCGGCTGCAACTGCGGCACAAGCAAGAGAGTTAGTAGCAAGACAAGCAGCGTTGGAGGCAGAGTTGAAAACAATCAAAGAACAACGCCAAGAAGCTGATCTCTTGTATAAAAAGATGGTGCAGCATAGCGCAGAAGCTCTAAGCATGCGAGATGAACGGGCACGAGATACTAAGGAGAAATCTGCGCATTATGAGAATGCGCAGCCCATTATCGCTGAAGCGACCAAGATGTGGAATTTCTTGAAGGGCGCATTGAAAGATATCTCTGTTCCAGCAGAACCCCCTCTCCTAGTGCAACTATTGAAGCAGGGAAATGTGACGACTAGTCTGAAGTACAATCAGCCCTTGGTGTGGTTGTTGGGGACTCAAGTGGCATTGGTGAGGGCAATCCAGATCAAGGCAAACCATAAATTATGCCGCTTGCGTGCGACTCTAAAAGAAGGCGACTTGTGCCAAACTTTTTCTATCTTATCTTTTTGGTTTCTATTTTTTGGATTCGAAAACACTTGATTTGATACTTTTAGAAATATAGTTTTGTCGCAACCTCTGTAGCTTGTTCTTTATGCTGTGCATCTAACTGTTCCCAACGGGAAAGATAATACTTCTTTAGGTAGGTAGCATTGATAGATCTCTCGCTAACTTTGCCATCAAAGGTAGCCAAAGTATAAACATTACGTTCCAAGTGATGATGAATAACAACGGGTCCTTCCCAAGTTGGTGTCCATTTGCCATATTTAGGATCCCGTTGACCAATAGGCAAAACTGCTTTCCAAACCTTCTCACTGAATTTAAAACTATGTTGTCAGAAATTTTTATTGTATTGTTTGATGACAAGAATCTTTTCATATTCAATCTGTCTAGAAGCATTAATCCGGATTTCCTCTATCTGATCTTGCAGAATCTGCATACTCAAAGCATAATCGATGGAATCAATCAGATGTTGACTTGTAACACAGAGAGATGGGATTAAGTGCTCGATTGGGACAACTGCATTATGGCTGTAAACTAACTCATATGGTGTAGCATGTGTTCTGCCACGTTTGGACATGCGGTAAGCCCATAACACTTGCGGCAACAAAGACTCCAAGCACTAGGATTATCGGAAATGTGGTGATTCATGATATTCTTGATAATCTTGTTGCTAGCCTCTGTCTGGCCATTCCTTTGTGCAAAATAAGGAGAGGAATGGGTAAGGAAGAAACTAGTGTCTTTGCCAAAATCTTGCATTTATGTACCAACAAAATACTGTGCTTGATCAGTAACAATAGACTCGGGAATCCTAAAGCGGTAGACGATATGTTCCTGGATAAATCGGATAACTATTTTTTGATCAACATCTTTCAATGATACTGCTTCTACCCACTTTGTGAAATAATCAGTGGCTACCAGAATGTAACGATGTCCACTGGAAGAAGATGGGTGAATCATGCCGATGACGTCGAATGCCCAGGGTCGAAAAGGCCATGGTTTGACTATAACTTGCATGGGCGCCACCAAAACTCGTGGAATATCTCTATAACGCTGGCAATCAACACAACCATGGGCAAACGAGATGCAATCCTATGTCATGGACGGCCAAAAATACCCATGTCGACGAATCAACCAAGCCATTTTGCGTCCGCCCTGATGGGCACCACAAGCACCTTCATGTGTTTCTAGCATAATGATAGTAGACTCGGGACGATTGAGGCATTTGAGCAGAATTTCATCGGCTTTCTTGCTGTAAAGATCCCCATTAATCACCACATACTAGATGGGATGACGTCGGATCTGGATATCAGTCGGCACATCTAAATTAAGAAGGAACTGAACAATTGGGTGTCTCCAATCACCGGCATCAACTTGTGGCTGAATTGTGTTAATAGGCATAGATGTGTGTTTATGGTAAGCAAGAAAATTGACTTCAACTGTGTCATACTGCCAAGAGGGATCTACTTCAGGAATGTATTTAGAGGCAGATTGTGCCATGGCATTAGCTTCTTGGTTATCAGGACGCAACACATTAGTAAAGGTGATTGTATCGAAGTGTGACTTGAGTTCATCTCCAAGGGCTGTGTACTGAGTTAAAATGTCATCTTTCCATTTCATGGTGTTTTTCATATGACCAACCACAAGAGCAGAATCACCGATAACCTCAACATTGCGTGCTCCATTGTGCATCAAGGTACGGAGACCATAAATCAGACCTTCATACTCAGCATGATTGTTGATAACGCGGAAGTTTAATCAGACTCGAATCCATAACACTTTTCCCACAGAGGAATAAATAACCACTCCTGCTCCACACCGGTGAAAAGTAGCAGAACCATCAAAATAAAGCTTCCAAGAGACAGCAGGGACTATTTCAACCTGGAAAGCAGCAACTTCAATATCAAACCAATTATCATCCAATGAAGGATGTGTCGCTAAGAAATCTACTAGAGCTTGTCCTTTGACCGAGGACTGTGGAACATGTTGAAACTGGAACTCCATGAGTCCCAATATCCATTTACCAATTTGGCCACTCATGTTAGGGTGATTGAGCATATAGTGGACTAAATTAATCTTGCTGATAACGCAAATCAGTGTTGGCAACATGTAGTGTCAGAGCTTGGTAGCAGCAAAGTGAAGAGCCAAACATAATTTCTCTATGGCTGGGTACTTTTGTTCAGTAGCCGTTAACATTCTGCTAAGATAATAAACTGCTCTTTCATAACCATCTGGACTATCTTTTGCCAACTCTAGTATTGTCGTTTAGAAGCAGGGTCTCTTGTCTTATGTGGTGGGCTAGTTGACATTCTGGATTGTTAGCTCAATTGTATATCTTTGTAATAACCAGCCCGCACCCGTTGCCATCACCATTTCTGAGTACGGGTAAGACCTGATGCAGCAATTCGAACAGCTGGGAACTTTTGATGCTTGTTATGGTGCCATTGGTTATCATGTACCACTTTTGGTTTAATCATTCTGGGATATCGCACAGGAGTAGGTGTTCTGGGCTTGGACAATCTATCCCATACCGATGTTCCTGCCAAATCAGATGATTTTTTTGACACAGGAGGAGTTGCGGACATCAATTAGTACATGTTGGTTTCCCAAAGGTACTGCAGGCACATGACTATGCATAGGAGTGGCAAAACCAGATGACTACAACTCTACTAGAAAAACTGACTGTGGTGGTGGAACTAGTGGTCGTACATGAAGATGAGGATGAAGTGTTGTGTGTCGAAGATGATTCTGCAATATCTCTACCTGCGCAGGTTTGTGAATCTATGTCTGCGGTTGGCCGTCTACCATAATAGTGACTTCTTGCCTTGGTACAGGTTGATGATAATGCCCTCCAAATCGTTGCTCAAATTCGCTCAACTGATGTTTAAATCCACCGAGTACCACATCACATTGCAAACATCCTGTAGTATTACACGCCACAGACATGTGACTATTCAAACCAACATTGACCATGCGCACTGGATGTTGTGTTGGAAATGGATTAGCATTCATCTCAATTGGATTGTCGACTTTGACTTTCCCTTCATCAATCATGTTCTGTAAGTAATTGTGGAAAACCACACAATCATTTGTGGCATGTGTCTATGAGATATGATACTTCCAATAAGATTTTCCAGCAATTTTGGACGACTTTGGTGGACGATACCCTTTCCTATATCGCACATGGCCTGTCTTCATCATGTCATCGAAAATTTCTTGTTGTTGAGTAATGTCAAAACAATAAACCTTTGCAGTTGCTAATGTGTCGGAGGTCTTGGCTGTTCCAGAAGAAGATACCCCTTGAGTGTATGCTTGTGACGCAACTGACCTGCGTAATGCTTCACATGTGTATTCCTTTAAATTGATAAGCTCGACAGCATTGACACTATCCCAAGACCAATCTTCATCATCAGAAGAACTCCAAGCAACATTGTTAACCTCTGCAACAAGTTCTTTGTTAAACTATGATTTAGGCTTGGTTGGCTTAGACTCCCTTTTAGCTCGAATCACCTTCTTTGTGTTATGGACAACTTCCATATGTTGTGTCAGAGATCGGATTGGATGTGGTGTTACCGCCAATTTTACTTTAAAGTCTTAAATTTCTGATATTGCCATCTTGACTATGGTAGACTCCTCATATTTACCGGAAGTAGCTCCTGGTATCTTTGCATGCATTTGTCGGAACCTAGTAAGATACGCCTCAGCCGTTTCACCCTTGGTGACAAATCAACTATCGACAACCTCGATGTGGTGCGGTAAAAATTATGAATAAACACCAATTTTTGGGTATTTCAATAGCAATAGATCCTAGTTCCAAGGTGCGATACCAATCTAATGCTATGCCAGTCAATGAATATGGGAATAGACACAACTTTAAAAAAGGATTATGCCCAACTTCAATGCATTCCAACTCAAAGCAGCCAATGTGATCCTCAGGACGTTGATCATCCTCAGAAGTAAATTTCTTGAAATCTGGCATCTTGTAGTTCCTTGGCAAGGGTTCAAATTCAACATATTCTGGATAAGGTTTGCCCATAACTTCTGGTACTTCTAATCCAAGTTCCTTGCGAACCATACCTTCCACCATAGTTTTAAAACCAGATTCTGTAGTGAATGGGGGTGGAACTTCCTATTCTCTTGCAAAACCGTCCTGTCGGAATTCTCTTTCAGGTTCTTGGTATAGTTGTGCTTCTGGTTAATTCTCCCTCTGCAGGTTCCTACCATCCTTTCTTTGAGTATTATTCCTTGCCCTAGTTCGATTTTACGCATGATTTGCTTCATACTCAAGCCATTGTTGCTTTTCCAGCAACTCTTCTATCGTAGGAACATGTCTTGGCAAAATCCTAGGTACAGTGTCCTGTTGTCCAACTTGTTCGGGATTACAACGCTTGCTCCTTGTCATGGTATCCTTTGTGGAGTCGGTACATTGCTAGCCAAATTTCCTTGTTGGTTTCCATATGCAATAAACCTTTGATCATTATTTGGGAGAGGATTTTCCGTTGGTGCAACACTGGCTACCACTGGAACTGGTCGAGTAGTCATTGGAGTTGGTATTACTTGAGCTTGTGCATTCTCAACATCCTGTGTCTGAAAGTTTTGTCTATTCAATGGATTCAGTGGAAGTACTGGCTTGGTGGCGGTATTATTCCTCTTGGTGGGGTGAATCCACTTGTTGATGGGTATCCCGGAGATCTTGGTGGCCATCTCATAGCTGGAATAGTCGGTGTTGAGCCAAAACATGTAACTGGTCCCTGGTAACTTCCGTAGTACGGAAATGGACGACCATCTTAGGTAATGTTTCCGGCTAGTGGAGTAAACATAGGTTGACTTGGTTCAACACGATAATACCAGCTAGAGTTATGTATCGGCGTATTTTTTGAGACAAATCCTACCTGAATTACCCCACTTGTTGACAATCCTTGCACCGGTGTTGATGAATTGGAGAACAAAGGGTTATCATGGGTAAGCGCTGTAGATGGATTCAATAGTGGCACTCTCAATGACACATCAGGAGTTGTTGGGGGAAGTTTCGGGTGCTACCCCTCCACTAGGGTTAACCTTTTGGAGAGATTGTTCTAACACCGCAATTCGGGCCAACATGCTAGTGATAGTGTTTTTTTGCTGGCAAACGATGATCTGCTCTAAACTTTGGGGTGTATTACATGCTGATTCTTTAGTACGGCCCCATTGGTCTAACCCTAGCTGAGCGTTAAGCCATGATGTTCCATGTTCCAAGGTTTGCTCCGTCCCTTGATTGTGATATACCTGCGGGTGATATGAGCTTTTCAACTCATATTCCAAACTCTGATTTACTGGGAGAATCGGTACTCCCGATGTCGGGAACGGAAGAGTTGATGAGATTCCTGTTTCTCTGGTTGACTTTGCTGCTTCACTTGTTGACGGACTGGACAAAGTAGCTCCTATCAGAATAGAAGTTGTAGCTGTTGTTGTTGACATGGCTTTAAACCTAGTCGAGACATGCACATCAGTTCCATTGGGCGTGCCAATTATGTTTGTGCGAAAATAATCAGTGGAAACTGACGTACAGTTACAAACAATCTCAGACGAAAGTGTGTAATTTGTGAGATGTAATATTTGGCTAGGCGTAAAGAAAGAGAGTTTAAACTTATGAGGAACTCTCAATAACTTGAGTAAAGGCTGAATTGATTGTATACTGATGAACTTAAATGAATTACAAAGAGTAAATCGAATGAAAAGACTCGTGAAAATACTGAAAAAGAACAATAGGGTGCTAGAAAAAGGATAAAAGAAAGATAAGAGCTTTGCAGCTTATGATTTGTGTGTGTTGATGATGAGTTGTGTTTTGTGTTACCCTATCTCTCCCTTTATGTAGGGTTTGGAAATCGTTTATGTCTGTGCAATCTCCGATTCCTTATTGAATTTGTTGTTGTTGTTTCAAACTGCAGCTGACTTTTATTTCCAATTTTCTTCTTCTATCACAATTGGAATTTTTCTCCAATTTGGATTCAGCCTTCTCCGCGTCGGGTTGGACTTTTGACGCATTTTCCTTTTCCGATTCGGCTATGGACTTCTTGCGACAAGTAAATTGGGCCGATTCATCACTTTTGTTGGGCCGATCCGATTTTAGTTTAAAATCGGTGTTAACATAATTACGTTAAAACTCAATGAACAACATAATAATGCCAAACAAAAGAAAATTAGGTTTCAAAAACTGAAGCTTACCTCTACAGAAATCAAGCAGTCCAAATTACTGAAGCATTGTTGGAATGCCCCCAAAAACTGAAACTTTCAACCAGGGACAAACCTTGAATCGACGATTCTTTCTTCTACAATAAGAGCAAACCCTCGAGTACCCAAAACGTAGCAACAATATAGATGATCGTTCACTCCCTTCCACCAAAAACGAAGGAAAGGGAAGGAAGAAAAAGTAAGAAAGAAGAAATAAAGGGAGGAAAAAGTGTTGACTATGCACTGGCAGGCTACTGGGTGGCGGCTCCGGTGGGGGGTAAGAGAGCCACAGACGAAGAGAAGGTAAAGAGGAAGAATGTGAGAAAAGGGCTTCTTTTGAACGTGTTTCCTTTACAAGAGGACTTATTTTGATTTATTCCATAACTTTCTCAGAGACGCGGATTTGTCCTCAAATCCCATTAAATTATATGCTTAAAACTCCATGTTTACCTAGAATCACATTTTAGTGTCAAAGTATCATGCTTTTCAAATATAATCTATTAAATTTCCATCTTATGTCAATTTTAGTCCAGTTTATTCACTTGTTAAAAATTTTACCAATATTTTTTTCCCGAGATCAATAGTGACTCTCCACATACCCCCGATGTGACTCGAACCGTGACCTTTCAAAACCAGGGGAGGCGTTTTACTAATATAATAAGGGGCAAAATTGCTACGAATTAAAAAAATAAATAATTATTTTGTGTTGTGAATAATGGGGTGGATGACAAAATTTAATAGTTGAAACTTGAAAACTTTTGCAACCTGATGTAAGTGACGAAGGACGTGCTAAAAAAATCTTCTTTAGTTGACTTTCTTTAATCAATAAAATAGACTTCATGTTTCATTTCAAAAAAATAATAATGATGAAGTAGAATAGACTTTATACTAATCTTGCACTCAACAATTGAATATACAATTTGTTTTCCTTCTTCTTTAACATTTGAAGATTGTAAAAACAAAACCACAACTGGAACAGTTTCCAGAATTTTTGTCTTAGAAGAATTATACAATATATCCCTCAAATGATTGTGCGTTCTCTAAAAACCGTGCTTAATAAACTAAGAGTAGAAATTTCGGTGACTCAGAATCGGCCGAAGGCCAGATTTTATCATAATCTTTGAAGGTCAAGTACAGCTGCCGATAATTGGCTTAATTCAAGGAGTTCTCGAAGAACCCTAACTTTGGAGATAAAATCGGAAATAAAAGACTGATAAATAAAAAGAAGCAATTTGATGTTGTTTTGATTGTGTCCTTCCTCCTACTGCCGATCCCTTTAAATAGTCTTCAAATCCCAGTCGGTTCACAATTCTAAATCAATACCCAAATAGGCCTCCTTCTTGAAATTGGACCCTAAACTTTCTAGAAGCCTGCTCCATGGCCCGCTGTTTTACTTAATCCGGCCCAAACATTCACCAAGCCCTTCTAAGCCCAGCCGCAAAAAACTGGCCCAAGATAATGCCCCCCGAGAAAAATTGTGAAATGTACTGAACAAGTTTTCTAATCCTCCTCGGCAAAATTCAAATACAGAATCCTCCCTTTACCAAAACACATTCCTTCTATTAATGGTTGATATCTCAATCCTTAGAGAAGTGGGATTCTAATATCACCCAAATCCTTAACTGATTTGAGAATATCAGTCAATTGAATCTTCACCCAAGGTGCTATTAATACGCTGTCTCCTTTGCTTTCCAAACACCATCATTCTCTCATCGATTTTCTCAACTTCCTTTCTCTCTCTCTCTTTTCGGTATTCTTAGTTTCTCCGTCCATTTTTCTTTCCGGCAACTCTCTGCTCATCGCTTCCATGGCTGCTGAAAGGGACTATTCTGTTGTCCTTTCCAAAAAACGAGGCATTTGTGATGCTGAAGCCCTATCATTGGTGCCCAATTACCCGGATATTGTTTCTCCAGTCAACGAAGACATCCGGTCCTATCGCCTAGGGCCCGGCTTTGAAAAAGCTCTGACGGTACTCTTCCGGTATGTTCTGGTGTGTCAACCCCCAAGCCCTTCTCATCAATTTGCCAACCCCGGCAGTTGCCACAGTTGCCAGAGCCACCACAGCTGGCCTTGGTTGCAAAAAATCAAAATTCATCTGGGTTGGGTAAACTAGTGTGAATACCTGGAACCGGAGTTTGGCCAAGTCTGGCGAGATGTCGGAATCTACGATCTGATTCAGTTTTGCAAGGTCAAGGTAAACTTTGGACCGACTGTATTCAGTGTTGCTGCCTGTTTTTGGTCATCCACCTCCAACGTTCTTTGCCTCCCACGGGGAATGTTGACACCAACCCTGTTAGATGTCTACTTGATTACTGGTCTATCGCCGACAGTTCCTGTGGCGGTCGATATCAATTTGGAGCATCCAGATGCAGCAGATCTGACAGCCAACCAGCAGAATCAATTCAAACAGATATTGGATTCAGTCCGAGATATCGATTCAGCAACCCAACACAAAACTTTCTTGGCCTACTGGCTAAACTGGTATGTGTTCTTTTCCAAATCTTTGCAAATGACTATGAACTTTTATCATTTGGCCTGTGTACTTGCCACTGGTAAAAAAGTAAATTTGGCGTCGGCTTTATTAGGTAGTTTCTATAGAAGTATGTATGAATTGAGACAGCACCCTGAACGTACTTTAAGTGGTCCTCTGTGGTTGTTAGTTCTATGGCTTGAATTGTACTTTCCAGCCATTAGGTTTGGTTATTCAGACATAGCAGGGCCTAGCCAACCCTATGTAAAAACATCACCTCTTTAGAAGAAAACAAAATGTCTGTCGATGATGTTTTAGCCATCTTTTTAGAGGTTGAACCTGATATTTCTGTAGTCCATCGATTGCTTGATCTTGATTGCTATCATCCCTATTTTGGGATCATATATGAGGCCGAAGCTTAATTTGGCCACTGGGATAAATCTGGTACTACCAGTATGAGGGCCATCTGGGATACTTCTTGGCCACCCGTGATTTGCACTTTGGGTTTCGGCCACAGGAAGCTACCGACAAGAAAAGGACCATGGAAACTTTTACCGACTTCTATCCGGCCAACATGGTGGCCCGGCAATTTGGTCTGACGCAAATCATCCCTAGTTTTGAGTTCATCTGTTGGAACAATTGGAGGATATGCAGGTTCCGGATTCCCCCATCTATAATCGCAGGCCGGGTTAATCTTATGAATCTGCTGATGCAAGATGCCTCTATTGTACCGTTCACCCCATGGCCGATTTGTACTGCAGCTTTCAGACAGTGGTGGCAGTAAAAATTCCAAATCATTATGCTAGGATCTCCTGATGACTTCAGACGGCAACTCAATGTAGCCAACACCATCATCCCGATTGTCTCCAATAGCATTGCCCCTCTGGCAGATGATGGTAACATTTCTTCCTATCGATTTGTTTTTTTTTTTTAAACCACTTCTCTATCTGCTTAGTTACTCATTCTTATGATTGCAGATCCAGTAAAAGAAAGAGCTTATTGCAAGGATTAGACGTTTCCTCCTAAGAATCCTCTTACAATAACCAGACAATCTTCACGGTTGTCATCCAAATCCCGAAACAACAAACAGGCGACTGCTAAACAACACAAGGTATTCTCCTTCCTGGTTTAAATCAACCACCCTTTGTTGTTTTTTTTTCCTTTTATATATCTACCGACAGTCCACTTATTTCCTTCTTTGTCTGATTCTAACAGGGAAAAGGGCCAACCGATGATGACATCCTGTTCCTGGATGAAGAAGGGAATAAAGAAGAAGAACCCCATGAAAAACAAACCGGCGAAGATGAGGACGAAGGAGAAGAAGAAGATGTTGTCCCTCTTATCAGAAAATGCCGATTGACAAAAAGTCCTCCTGTTGACACTCAGAAGAAACAAAAATCAGATGCTGGCACAGCCATTTCTCAACTCCCCCTTGTGTTATCCACTCCAACTCTATCAGCTTCAACCAATCAAACTGGGTCCCCTAGCTCCAACCTGCTATCGTCGGTGGCACACTGTGCTAGGCTGGCTAGTCTCAAAACAGCTGTCCCCCAAGCATTAATGAGTCCTCTTGCAGGTGCTTCTGAAATTGAGCTGTCCAAAAAGATAATCGGCACCCCACTTGGACAAGTTTTTACTCCCCAGTCTGCCCAAGTAAAGAAGGACCTTGAAACCCTTTTGGGTGGAAACATGACCAGTGCCACCGCCGAGATCCTAAGTGACTTCCTTGCTGAGTTCAATGACCTGCAAAAGAAATATGTTTATAACTCGAAAATCAGGAAGAACCTGCCTGTTTACGAATCTAACTTAGCCAAAAGCCAAGAGTAGGTCCAAGCTTGCACTGAACAATTGATTTACCATCAGCCCCTGCGTGGGTTTTAAAACAACTCGTGTCTTTTGGTTTATGGCCAGCGTGCATTTTGTTGGAAACACTTTCTTTAATTATTCGATGGTTTTTTTTTCCTTTTGAATAAAATGACATCTTTATGCATATCGCTGTTTTGTTAAATCCTTAGCTATCTGTTGATCTGTTATACTTAGCTGATTCCATGTAGATGCATGATTCTTCTTTAGGAATACGACATTAACTGTTTTGGCATGCACCTCTCCTGTTAGTGACTTAAGTCTATAAATTCCTCTGCCTAAATTTTGATGTATGATGAATGGACCTTCCCATGTATGCGACAATTTGCCCAAACTGTGATCCTTTTGTCCAATCGGCAAGATTGCTTTCCAGATTTTCTCCCCAAGTTCAAACATTTTATGCCTTGTATTTCTCTGATATTGCTTAAAACATTTTCTCTTTTTGCAATTGAATATGTTGAACAACTTGCTCCTTTGTTTCTATTATCTTTTCATGATGTTCATGCATTGCTAATCGATAGTCCTCTGGATTGATAGGAAACTGTTCAACCACTCTCACTGATTTGACCAATTGTTCAATCGGTAGCGTTGCATCCTATCAATAAACCAATTCATAAGGAGTAGTTCCTGTTCCACCACGCTTAGTTGTCCGATAAGCCCATGAAGCCTGGGGAACCAATTCATGCCAATCCCTTGGGATTATCATCTATAGATTTCTGCACAATTCTCTTAAGAATCTTGTTTGAAGCTTCAGCCTGTTCGTTCCGTTGTGCAAAATATGGAGAAGAATGCATAAAAACAAAACTGATTTCCTTTGCAAATTCCACCATATCCTTTCCAACAAAATACTTGGCCTAATCAGTAACTATAGTTTCTGGAATCCCGAATCTGTAAATAATATGCTCTTTCACAAACTTAATCACAGTTCTTCGATCGGCCTCTTTTATCTGGATCGCTCCTACCCATTTGGAGAAATAATCAGTAGGCACTATAACATACTTATGGCCTTCACTTGATGGAGGATAAATCATTCCAATCAAATCCATTGCCCGACATCTAAACATCCACGATTTTACAAAGATCTACATCGGTTTAGGATGCATCTTTTGAATATTCCCATGTTTTTGACATTCTTTACACCCTTGAACAAATTCTATACAATCTTTGGTTATGCTTGGCCAAAAATAACCATATCTTTGAATCAACCAAGACATCATCCTTCCACCTTGGTGAGCACCACAAACTCCTTCATGTACTTCCAACATAATCAAGAATGCTTCCGGCTTGCTAACACATTTCAACAATACTTCGTCCTTCGTCTTCTTGTACAACAATCCATCAATAAGCAAGTAGTTAACTGACTGCTTTCGGAATTTTGAGTCCACTTTCTTTTCTAGAAAAGCCAAACATTTAATCAATGGAGCCCTCCAATAGGCTTCTACATCCACATTATTCACGACTGCCACCGAATCTTCATATGCTGGCCGATCCAAATCCACAACGAAGAAAGACAATGACTGGTCCTCTATCGGCCGATAGTCAGAAGCAGCTTGCGCCATACAATTAGCTTCTTGATTACACTCCCTAGGCTGATACTCGAAATCAATATAATCAAAGCATTCCTTAAGCCTCTCTACAATTTCCCAATATTTGAACAAGGTATCATCATTGCAAAGACATTTATTTGAAGTTTGGTGAATAATCAACCAAGAATCACATATTATTTTTGCACGCTTCACCTTATTGAACAACAAGGTTTCTAAACCATAAACGATACCTTCGTACTCTGCCTGATTATTGGTGCACTTGAATCCTAGTCTGATTTGCACCTTCATAGCAGTACCTTTCGAGGAGAACATCATAATCGCAGCTCCGCTTTTCACAAAAGTAGTAGATCCATCAAAATACAGCTCCCAAGGCCTTTCTTCCAGGGCCAGAATCTCGTAAGATTCTACCTCTTTCTCGGACCAGTCCTGATCTAATGATGATTATTCCACCAAAAACTCTGCCAGTGCTTGCCCTTTAACCACTGACTATGGCACATGCTGAAATTGATATTCCATCAATGCTAATGCCCATTTTCCCAAATGGCCACTCATAGTCGGCCGATACAGCATGTACCTAACTAGATTCACCTTACTGATCACATACACAGTAACTGGTAGAATATAATGTCTTAATTTCACAGCAACATAATATAAAGCCAAACACAACTTTTCTATCGGCGAATACCGTCTCTCGACGTCGTTTAACAACTAACTCAGATAATAAATAGCTCTCTCCAAACCATCTTCACCATCCTGAGCCAGGAAATAGCCGATAGAATCTTCTGTAGCCGATATGTACAACTTCAACGACCATCCCCCTTGTGGTGATGTCATTACAGGTGGATTTACCAAATACCTCTTTAACCGATCAAAGCTTCCTGTTGTGCTTCTCCCCAAATAAACTCACTAGTATTATTAGACTTTAACAATGGTGAAAATATCTTGATCTTTCCAGACAAATTTGCTATAAACCATCTCAAGAAATTCATCTTACCAATTAAACTCTGCAACTCTTTCTTGTTTCTTGGTGGTCTAGCATCTATAATAGCCTTAGCCTTCTCAGTGTCCACTTCTATCCCTTTTTTTCTTGAACCAAGAAACCCAAAAAATTTCCAGAAGTTACACCAAATGCACACTTCAAAGGATTAAGCTTCAACTTATATTTTCTCATTCGGGCAAATGCTTGAGCCAATTGATCTAGATGTTCCTCAAAAGTATGAGATTTTATTACCACATCAACATACACCTCCACCATATTTCCAATTATATCATGGAAAATACAATCCATAGCCCTTTGATATGTTGCCCCGGCGTTCTTCAACTCGAGTGGCATTACTCTCCATTGGAAAATTCCTAACGCCCCTGTACAATGGAATGTTGTTTTTGGGACATCCTTCTCAGCAATATAAATTTGATTGTAACCAGCATTCCCATCTACAAGGAGACGCTAGATTCAAATCACGAAAATCCACATTCGCAAGCCGATCCAGATAAACCGCCACTTCTATAAAACCAACTGCCAGCAACCTCAAGATTTCTTCCTTTATCTTAGCGGTTACCTCATCTGAAAACCTTCATGGCGCTTGCTGCTTCGGTTTAAACACTTTCTTAGGGGGAATTGTGTGCTCAATCAAACTTTGGTCCAATCTTGGCATTTCGCTGTAATCCCAAGCAAAACAATCTCGACACTCCATCGAAACTCTTGTTAATGCCTTTTTCTGCCCATCAGAAAGCACCGCACTTATGAATGTTGGTTTTTGTTCCTCGCTTATACCCAAATTTACCGATTCTATCGATTCCTTTGTTACCATGGTGTCATCCCCAAGCTTGCTGCTTGCTTTTGCTATTTCTGACAATTCAATATCATCAAATTCAACTAAGACTTCATCTTCACACACGGCATCCACTATACATAATGCCAACGTCTCTAACCAATCAACTACTGGATCATTTATCATCATCGAAAACTTCTTCAGTAACCGGTCCAACATCCTGCGGCTTAGGTGCCAAATATTGGTATAGCCTACGGATCTCTTGCCATAACATCTTCCATTCATTAATTCCTATGTTCTTCATAGGCGTTGCGGTCATAGGTTTACTGTATTTGTCAATTCCAAGCAACCTACATGGACCGACATCCTTTTCATAATAAAAAGCTTCAGCAGGATTGCTCTGCACCATAAACAGTTTAGCATCAGCCTTTAAAACTTCTGGTCCATTTGCCCCCCAAATCACCAAAGCCTGATGAAAAGATGAAGGGACGCATCTAACTGAATGAATCCAGTCACAGCCTAACAGAGCGTTATAGGATCCCGTAGTATCCACTATAAAGAAGGCCGACATGACTGCTTGAGAGCCTAACTCCACTCTAACTGGTAGTATTCATCGAGTACTTGTTACGTCTCTGGTAAAGCTGTTAACTGCAATCACAGTAGGAACTAAATCCGATTCCTGCTTCCCTAATCTCCGCAACATGGAAGAAGGCATAATATTCACAGCCGCACCATTATCAACTAGTATCCTGTTAATAGGGACACCATCTAACAAAGCCTGCACATACAGCGGCTTTACATGATTGATAGACATCGATTCTAGCATAGAGATAATTACCGCTGGCAACGCTCCATCAGTTTTATCTTAATCCCCAAACCTCTTTCAACTGCAGGTTAACTTTCGGCACCACTGTTTTCTCTGGGTCATCAACCTTTACTTCAAGCATCTTTGCCATAGCTTGTCTAGCAGCATATTCTTTAGGCAGTACGTACACCATGTTGACGTCCATACTATCATGCTTCTTATTTTGCCATTGCTTAGTTACTCGAACCTGCCTACCATGCACACCATAAGACGATTGCTCGAGCTCCCTTTTTTGCCTTAAATATATCTTCCTACCCGTTTTCGCTGCCACCTTCGACGCTAAGTTCGAGTCATACCACTGCTTGTTGATACAGGATTTGGAAATCTGGGGTTCTCTACTCGATGCCACAAGTTATCAGAAACTTGATGGGGCCTTACCATTCTAGCCTTTACACTACCCATAGGCAGCACAAATGGTTGGGCAGACCGTCCAAAGCTAAGCCCCTGACTACGATATGGCCATGACAACCTGTATTTCACCGTTCGTGATTCAAATCTCCCCATCCCAAATCCTTGGGATGTGCGTGGACCTAACCGCTCATGAATCGGTTGTCTTGGCATTAGTCTGTCTACATGTTGATCAGAGCTTTTACTTGCCGGCCCTGAATGTTCAACATGTCTACTCTGAAGAACCTGTGTTAAGGATGTCGCTACTTTCTATTGATAACTCTCCTGTGACTCTTGTACTTGTGGTTTTCTGACCCAAGTTTGCAAATTTCCATCTACTTCAATGGTTATCTCTTCTTCTACTTGCTGAGAAAGAATTTTCCGTTGATGCAAATGCCCACCATTCGCACTTCCTAATCGACAAACTTCCTCTTTCAATGAATCCACCACTCGACCACAATCTTGACAACCGATACTTATCTTCTGTCTAGCATAAGCAGCTGCTCGAGGGTCCACATTTATCATTTCCACTACGTGATTCACCGGAGATGGTTCTATCATCACTGCTGCCGGTTCTTCCTCTTGGATATTTCCACTGTCAATCATCTTCTGTATGACATTCTGGAAAACCGCACATTCGTTGGTTCCATGCGTCATTGACATGTGATACTTGCAGTAAGTCTTTCTTTCTATATCGGCAGGTTTCGACTGTCTCTGTCCTTTTCGATAAGTCACATGGCCAATCTTTAACATATCTTCAAAGATTGCCTCTTGTTGTGTAATGTCGAATGAATATACGCGGCCTGGATTGTAAGGGTCAGCTCGTGGTTTTGCCCCAGTGGCTGTCCCTTGTCCTAGTGGTATATCACAGGCTTGTGGGGTACTAGGCTTCCGCAAAGTAGTACATTTGTATCCCTTCATATTTATTATTTCAGCTGCATTAATGTCTACAAAATCTTCCTCCTCATCAAACCCAAAGTATTGAGCCTGGTTCACCATTGGTTGATTAGGAGGATTGAACCATTGCCTTCCACGACCTTTAAGGCTTTCAGCTTCCTCTGCAATTATCTTGTCCAATTAACAAATTGTTTTAGCCAACTCTCCCAAGTTCGGGAAAGTCCTTCCTGTCAAACCAGACTTCAACCGAAAATTGGTTAGACCGGCTCTGGCCATGGTTATGGTTTGCTCTGGGTATTCGCCTAGTATCGTGGCCTTCATCTGCCTAAACCTTAACAAGTATTGCTCCCAGGTTTTGACAGGCTTTTATTTAACATCATGTAGGTCTGCAATAGTGTGTTCTGGTTTGCTTACATAGACGTTTTGCAAGAATAATTCCTTTTGAACCTCCTAGTTAGCCACTGATCCAGGTCACAATGTTTGGTGCCATTCGAATGCTAAACGGGTCAGTGATTGTGGAAACAACCGCAATTTATGGAACTCATTATTTGCCAATTGCCCACATCTAGCTCATATGTCCAAATATGATGCTCCGGCCTTGTGCTATCATTGCCTGAAAATTTAGTAAAGGTAGGCATCTTGAAGTTTCAGGGAAAAGCTTCCAAATCGACTAGACCTGGATATGATTTTCCTGGTACCTCCGAAATCTTGAACCCTAAGTCTCACCGTAGCACTTCTGAAATTAATCGGCGTAATTCAATCTGATCAGCCGTCAATGCTGGATTTGTATTAATTGGCGGCGTTTCTCCTGCACCAGTCGCTTGTTGCCCAACATTTTCCATCGGACCATTCCGTTGAGCCATTGGTATCTGATTACCTGCTGGATTATTACTAACATATGTAGCCGCATGATTAACTATCGGTTCCTGAGGTTGATTGTGTATCCCATTGGGAGGTGGCCCTTGATGCATCAAAGGAACTCTTGCCGCCTGATTTCTGTTCCTTGTCGCACCTGCTAGCGGATTAATCACTGCTACCAACTGTAGATAGTGATTAGGGAGTTCTAACACCTGAAAGTATTGAAGCTGTCCTTGTTGGTTAGTCATAGTGACATACTGTGACTGATTTCCTATCAGCCCTTGAGCTGGCAGCCTAGTACTACTATTTTGGGCCGTATTGGAGCCTGCTGCAGCGATTCTAGTAGCGGCGGCATTGACGATGGGGCGGCATTAACGATCCTCCTAAAATTGCCAACAGCCTGTCGTCAGCAGCCACCGTTTGTTGCTATGCCATTTGCTGAGTCTGTTGATCGAGTACGGTTGATTCAACTGCTGGAGCTGTAGTCGATGTTGTCTGGAGGGCCCCATGAAGAATTTCGCCTTTGTATATTTTGCATGGAACCATCGGACATAAAATTCCATCGGGTGATCGGTCTTGAATCCAAACTGTTTCTTCTGCATACATACGTTGTTTGCTCGGTGCGGTCTTAGTTTGCTCAGATGTGGCTGTGTTTGGAGTTATCCCTTGAGTCACAATTGCAGTTGAATATGGTTGATATTGATCAGAGATCGGTGGTGTTGTTGGGCCATCGAAAATGAAGTTCCTGTATAGGGGAATAAACGCATGTTGACTAGGCACCACCTTTTCATACCAACTCCTGGGTATCTGTTCCGGACTAGGTGTCTCACCTGACAACTGCAAAGATGGGCCTGTTGGAGTATCATGACCTAAAAAGTGCAAAGGGTTCACACTAAAGTGCTTTGACATCTTACTTATCCGTTTCTCTTGCCCTAAGAAACTTGGCGTGACCGACCATTGTCCTGGAGCTTTGATGGCACTAAGTTCTACGTGCATCGAATTCACTCGTTCCACCAATATCGCCATGGCGCTCATTATCTCACTGGTACCTTTTTGCCTTGGTGAATTATTTAAGGTTTGGGTTGATGTTTGCGTTGGAGCAGTCGTACCCGCCAGTGGTTGCGGTGGTTCGAGAGGGATCACCTCCATCGTAGCTACAGTAGTCATCCTAATTTAATTAGCACGGAACTGTATTGTCTCACCGGGCATGCCATAAATATGTTTGCACAATTTTCATCTTGGAAGAATTATACAATATATCCCTCAAACGATTGTGCGTTGTTCTCTAAAAACTGTGCTAAATAAACTGAGAGTAGAAATTTCGGGAATTCAGAATCAGCCGAAGGACAGATTTTATTATAATCTTTGAAGTTCAAGTACAGCCACCAATTATCGGCCTAATTCAAGGATTTCTCGAAGAACCCGAGCTTTACAGATAAAATAAAAAATAAAAGACTAAAAATAAAAAAGAAGCAATTTGATGCTGTTTTGATGGTATCCTTCCTCCTACCGCCGATCCCTTTATATAGTCTTCAAATCCCAGTCTGTTCACAATTCTAAATCAATACCAAATAAGCCTCCTTCTCCAAATCGGACTCTGAACTTTCTAGAAGCCTGCTCCGTGGCCCGCTATTTTAATTAATCCGGCCCAAACATTCACCAAGCTCTTCTAAGCCCAGCCAGAAAAAACTGGCCCAATAGTAACACTAGAATATTTTCCGTCATTGAGCTTTAAACTTTGTTTCTTAAGTTTGAAGTATATATATACATGGAGCACTTTTCTTGTAAACAATAACACCTTCTAACACCTATTATTTTATCCAATCACAATTCATCTAGTTTCTTTTGGCTGTTTTGAATTCGGAATCCCTTTCCTCCAGTGTACGTATGTGCTTTTGTTGACAACGTATCTTATCACTGGAATTAATGACTTGAAAATTCAAATGGAGCGTATTGCATCAATACAAGATATCAAATTTGGAAGTTCTCAAGTAGATCTCAGGTTGCATATCACTCTTATAAAAGTGTCTTCGACCAGGGAAATAATTAACAATAAACTCCCTCTTAGCTTCTAGATCGAAAACAATTTCCAAATATGGCTAACCGGAAACTTAACTCATGATTTTTTTCTACAAGATGGCAGTACATGGAACATCATGTTTTGCAGCCTTTGTTGGAAACTCTGGACATGCAGAAACCAAATAATCTTTGGTGAAAGAGAGCATCAATGATGGAAATCCGCCACTCTACCCAAGATTTAGTTAAAGAGATCAATTGGATTAATGAGAATTTTTAATCCACAAGTAAAAAGAGGATTGAATTGAGATGTGAAAACAAATATGGTTGCCGCCACCAACCACATGGATAAAAATCAATTCTGATGGTATTGTTAAGATGCATCATAAAAGAGCGGCTACTGGAGACGTTCTTCGTGATCACCATGGTAATTGGATATTTGGCTTTACCAAGAATGTGGGAACTATTTGCACACCAGATGAAGTGCTATGAGAGAATATAACATGGTCTTTTGCATGCAAAGGAGATAGGTTACACGAAGATACGATGGAATTTTCATTCATTTATTTATTTTACATATTACATGTGGGAAATATACCATGGTCTTTTGTATGCAAAGGAGGCAGGTTACACCAAGATATTACATGTGGGAAATATACCATGGTCTTTTGTTGACAAGGTATCTTATCACTGGAATTAAAGACTTAAAGATTCAAATGGAGCGTATTGCATCAATACAAGATATCAAATTTGGAAGTTCTCAAGTAGATCTCTGGTTGCATATCACTCTTATAAAAGTGTCTTCGACCAGGGAAATAATTAACAATAAACTCCCTCTTAGCTTCTAGATCGAAAACAATTTTCAAATATGGCTAACCGGAAACTTAACTTATGATTTTTCTCTACAAGATGGCAGTAGATGGAACATCATATTTGGTAGCCTTTGTTGGAAACTCTGGACATGCAGAAACCAAATAATCTTTGATGAAAGAGAGCATCAATGATGGAAATCCGCCACTCTACCCAAGATTTAGTTAAAGAGATCAATTGGATTAATGAGAATTTTTAATCCACAAGTAAAAAGAGGATTGAATTGAGATGTGAAAAAAAATATGGTTGCCGCCTCCAACCACATGGATAAAAATCAATTCTGATGGTATTGTTCAGATGCATCATAAAAGAGCGGCTACTGGAGACGTTCTTTGTGATCACCATGGTAATTGGATATTTGGCTTTACCAAGAATGTGGGAACTATTTGCACACCAGATGAAGTGCTATGAGAGAATATAACATGGTCTTTTGCATGCAAAGGAGATAGGTTACACGAAGATATGATGAAATTTTCATTCATTTATTTACTTTACATATTACATGTGGGAAATATACCATGGTCTTTTGTATGAAAAGGAGGCAGGTTACACCTAGATATTACATGTGGGAAATATACCATGGTCTTTTTTTGACAAGGTATCTTATCACTGGAATTAATGACTTGAAAATTCAAATGGAGCGTATTGCATCAATACAAGATATCAAATTTGGAAGTTCTCAAGTAGATCTCAGGTTGCATATCACTCTTATAAAAGTGTCTTCGACCAGGGAAATAATTAACAATAGACTCCCTCTTAGCTTCTAGATCGAAAACAATTTCCAAATATGGCTAACCGGAAACTTAACTTATGATTTTTCTCTACAAGATGGCAGTAGATGGAACATCATGTTTGGCATCCTTTGTTGGAAACTCTGGACATGCAGAAACCAAATAATCTTTGATGAAAGAGAGCATCAATGATGGAAATCCGCCACTCTACCCAAGATTTAGTTAAAGAGATCAATTGGATTAATGAGAATTTTTAATCCACAAGTAAAAAAAGGATTGAATTGAGAAGTGAAAAAAAATATGGTTGCCGCCTCCAACCACATGGATAAAAATCAATTCTTATGGTATTGTTCAGATGCATCGTAAAAGAGCGGCTACTGGAGACGTTCTTCATGATCACCATGGTAATTGGATATTTGGCTTTACCAAGAATGTGGGAACTATTTGCACACCAGATGAAGAGCTATGAGGGAATATAACATGGTCTTTTGCATGCAAAGGAGATAGGTTACACGAAGATATGATGAAATTTTCATTCATTTATTTATTTTACATATTACATGTGGGAAATATACCATGGTCTTTTGTATGCAAAGGAGGCAGGTTACACCTAGATATTACATGTGGGAAATATACCATGGTCTTTTGTTGACAAGGTATCTTATCACTGGAATTAATGACTTGAAAATTCAAATGGAGCGTATTGCATCAATACAAGATATCAAATTTGGAAGTTCTCAAGTAGATCTCAGGTTGCATATCACTCTTATAAAAGTGTCTTCGACCAGGGAAATAATTAACAATAAACTCCCTCTTAGCTTCTAGATCGAAAACAATTTCCAAATATGGCTAACCGGAAACTTAACTTATGATTTTTCTCTACAAGATGGCAGTAGATGGAACATCATGTTTGGCAGCCTTTGTTGGAAACTCTGGACATGCAGAAACCAAATAATCTTTGATGAAAGAGAGCATCAATGATGGAAATCCGCCACTCTACCCAAGAGTAAAGAGATCAATTGGATTAATGAGAATTTTTAATCCACAAGTAAAAAGAGGACTGAATTGAGATGTGAAAAAAAATATGGTTTCCGCTTCCAACCACATGGAAAAAAATCAATTCTGATGGTATTGTTCAGATGCATCGTAAAAGAGCGGCTACTGGAGACGTTCTTCGTGATCACCATGGTAATTGGATATTTGGCTTTACCAAGAATGTGGGAACTATTTGCACACCAGATGAAGAGCTATGAGGGAATATAACATGGTCTTTTGCATGCAAAGGAGATAGGTTACACGAAGATATGATGGAATTTTCATTCATTTATTTATTTTACATATTACATGTGGGAAATATACCATGGTCTTTTGTATGCAAAGGAGCCAGGTTACACCAAGATATTACATGTGGGAAATATACCATGGTTTTTTATTGACAAGGTATCTTATCACTGGAATTAATGACTTGAAAATTCAAATGGAGCGTATTGCATCATTACAAGATATCAAATTTGGAAGTTCTCAAGTAGATCTCAGGTTGCATATCACTCTTATAAAAGTGTCTTCGACCAGGGAAATAATTAACAATAGACTCCCTCTTAGCTTCTAGATCGAAAACAATTTCCAAATATGGCTAACTGGAAACTTAACTTATGATTTTTCTCTACAAGATGGCAGTAGATGGAACATCATGTTTGGCATCCTTTGTTGGAAACTCTGGACATGCAGAAACCAAATAATCTTTGATGAAAGAGAGCATCAATGATGGAAATCCGCCACTCTACCCAAGATTTAGTTAAAGAGATCAATTGGATTAATGAGAATTTTTAATCCACAAGTAAAAAGAGGATTGAATTGAGATGTGAAAAAAAATATGGTTGCCGCCTCCAACCACATGGATAAAAATCAATTCTGATGGTATTGTTCAGATGCATCGTAAAAGAGCGGCTACTGGAGACGTTCTTCGTGATCACCATGGTAATTGGATATTTGGCTTTACCAAGAATGTGGGAACTATTTGCACACCAGATGAAGAGCTATGAGGGAATATAACATGGTCTTTTGCATGCAAAGGAGATAGGTTACACGAAGATACGATGGAATTTTCATTCATTTATTTATTTTACATATTACATGTGGGAAATATACCATGGTCTTTTGTATGCAAAGGAGGCAGGTTACACCAAGATGCAGGTAGAACTTTTTTTCTTGCATATTGCAGGGTGTATATGATGGGTGTCGAATCCACCAAAATAAACCTACTTAAAACTTGTAGAAAGTTATCAGAAAGGTCGATCCCACAGAGACGGGAAATATCAGATGAAAAATTGGGGTCATGTATTAACGAAATTAAGACTTGGACTAGTGATGTTGTGACTTGGTAAAGTGGATGAAACCTAGGGTCGTCCTCCTCTCTAC